ATTAGACAGGGAGGTCGCGGACTTTCCTCTCCGCCGAAGTGCATGGGTCCTTGATCAGAGCGAATACTTCTGCTTTCTCCTCAGTGAGCAACAAGCGAAGATCACAAAATGCTTCCAGCTTTAAGTTCCACTAACTCAGCTCCTGCATTCCAGACAGACGCTGGTCTGAAGTCATGATGCTTACATCTCTTTGCTGGCCGGTTTTAAAACTCCCAATAGCTCATAATAACCCTAATCACTATCACTGCGTCTTGTACGGACGAGCTCCCTCCTTCATCATTACGAACACAAAGACTGCGTGTACTCCGTAAGGATAAAGTAAAAGAACCAGCTTCTCAGTCCATTTCACACAGAAATATCATGCTCCTGGTTCCTTGCTTACCTGATCCACGCAGTATTGCCGTCCACACACCAGCAATAAGACGTACAATGAGCAGCATACAAATCTGCACGCCCACTCTACTGAATTTTTAGCTACTTGCCATAAATTTTTGCATCTATTGCTCGTCCGATATTCTTCCACCTTTCTGCTTTCCGTGGCAGGGCCGCCTCTAATATTACGAGGAGGAAAGGCGTTTTTCCAAACCCTAAAAGTTGTCAGGCCGTAGTGATTTATTGGAAACGGCTTCCTGTGGTTGGCTGGGTTTCTTGTGCCTGGGCCCAAGGATCTAATGAGGCCGGGCGCGAGTGAGAGAGAGAGTCGGGCAGAACGGGACACCTCCGCTGCCCTAGCCGGATCCTTTATTTCCTAAAGGACATATTTCTGCACTTCAGAGATTAAGAATGAAATGCTCTTTGTGAACACAAACAGTTCACACCTTTATCAGAGAACAACCAAATATTTTCTGATTATGTTGATGTTTCAAGAGATTAAAAAGTTCCTCATTTAATTGTAAAAGACATTAAAATATTGTTTGTAGATCCTGTAATTCTCCGTTACTTGTACAATAACCAGTGACAGACAGCAGGATTGATAAAAATACACTGATATCCAGATTATTGTGTAACGACTGGGTAGGACTGGATGTTTGACAGACGTAAGTCTCTCGACCTCATGTAACCCCTCTTGGGATCATATCAAAGCTGAATTGCTGTCATGTTTAATCAGAGCCCCCCCCCACAGCATCCCTGCCCCCAAGTCGTGGGCGGGCTGGGTCACACGGCGGGTCATGCTGGTGGACGTTGGCTCAGCCACCCTCGTGCACTAATGGGCTGCCCAGGGACCTGTAATCTCTTCCCAGCCACCAGTCACAATCAAAACAACTGAGTGGATATCACAAGAGCGGCCGGGGGGCCGCAATAACAAGGCAGTCATTACTTCTGAAGGGCCACTGATAGTTCTTGGGAAAGTTCACGTCAAGTCAAGTGAGCTTTATTGTCATACGATCCATATACAGGTATACAGTGGCACAAAATAACATCCCCCCCCAGGACCGCGCAGAAACAGTTTAACAAAAACATACCACTACAGAATATTTTAAGATGTTTTTGTGGCATTAATATGGACAGTTATGCTTATAAACCTCTCTGCTGCTTGTTTTTCTCTTTTATAAATAAAACACCAACCGTTCTGTGTTAAGGCCCCATCACATTTACTGTGATCATTTATTTAGCTGATCCCTTAATCCAGAGTGACACGCATTTATTTAGCAGATCCCTTAATCCAGAGTGACACGCATTTATTTAGCAGATCCCTTAATCCAGAGTGACACACATTTAGCAGATCCCTTAATCCAGAGTGACACGCATTTAATTTTTGAGAAAGCAGGGTCAGACAATCCTGGGGGGTTAAGGGCCCTGCTCATCCACCCGACCAGGAGATTACAGTGCTGACCCTGGGATTTGTACCTGTAACCTTCTGATCGTGGGCATGGCGCCCAAATCCACCGTGCCACATACCACCCCATGGACCTCAGGCAGCGCAGTGCTCAGCGCCTTTCATGCCCTACAGGACGTACATCCATGTCCCATGCTGCTAATCCTGTTCAGGGGCTTAGACCCCATCCCAGACAGGACACCCTGGATGGGATGCCAGTCCATCAACAGCAGACACACACGGGCATTTGTATTTTGTTGTTATATAAAAAAAATCTCAAGATGACATTATAACAATTTATTTTACAATTCTATTTTTATCTGACCATCACAATTCAGTTCCACTCTGTAGAGTAGGTATTCAACTATCTATCATGAAACTTTTCAGTGTTTAACATCCAGAGGAATCTGCTCACATTGTATGTGTTTGCGCCATTACTGCCAAACTGAGCAAAGCTCAGCCTCACCGAAATCATCAAGGAGTTTTATTTGTCATTGTGTAAGAGAGTTACATAAGTACAATGAAACAACCACCATAAAAGACAGAGAGAACACGACACAGCTATCAAACATAGTACAAAATAAAAACTTATTTACTAAACATTATAAGCATATAAATGCACACATAGGCGTGTAATTCACTGAGATATCAATAAATAACTAACATATAACATATGGTATATTTAGTATTTAAATAAGTCAGAGTATTGCACTGATACACCTGAGCTTATACGTTAGGTTATGTCGAGTATGATTGATAGTATTGCGCAAACGCCGACTGTTGGAAAGATGAAAACACCGAAACGCATGTGTGTCTATTACGGTGCTTCTAGTCTCCTGACCGTAGTGACACTGTGGTGACAGGTTCCGGTTCATTACACAGAAGTGAGGGCGTTCATGCTCACTTACACGTGAAAGCCTGTCATACGGGATATGAGGACACCGACAGGTCAGCGTTCCCTCAAGCATCTCCAGGAATAGAGAGTAACAGGGAAGAAGAGTAACCCGGGAAAGCCTGCATTTTAGTGTGCGATGACCTTAGCGTTAGTTTAGCCTGTGGCCGATGCTGGAATTCGGTTAGCTGAGAAACACGGGCACGGGTACTCAGCACGTAGGAACAATTTCACCTTATCTGCACTGGAGACTCGGGTCGAAGGGGGGG